CCTCTTCTGGATGGTCTCTTTGTTTAAGTTGGTGAATGCAGCCATAATCTTTGCCTTCACTTCATCTTTAGTGTTACTGGGGGTTTTGTTGGTCTCTCATTCAGCTGTGCCTAACACATAATAATCAAAGAGATTGCAGTCTGGAGAGTTAGGTAGCCAGATGTAAGAGGTGATGTGGTAACAGAAATTGTCTGACAGTCATAACTGTGTTCTCCTGCTTGTGTAGCATGGTGCAGAGTCCTGTTGCCAGACATAGGGTCTTCCAGCAGCCATCCTCTTGACCCAGGGCAGCACTACCACCTGAAGGCACTTGATGTAGATCTCTATGTTGAGTCTGAGGTCCTCACAAACAAATTTCGGGAGTTCTTTTCTTAGAACAATCAAAGTTTTTCGTGCGTGTTTAAATGGGTTTTTGTTTGTGTGTTTAAATGGGTTCTAATGGAGCTCTATTAGAACCCATTTAAACACACACACTAACTTGCCAGCCTCCATTAGAAACATACTAGTAGAAAACATAAATATAATAAATTCATCCACCTGTAAAAAAAAGATTCAAAATAATGAAAGCTTTAATAATAAAAAAGAAAAATCCAACTCTTAACAATATTAACTACGAACAAGGCCACAATGTGCTAACTGTATTTGGAAATTAGAAACATCTCTATAACACACTAAAACATACACATAATGCACACACTCAATTAAGCTGAAAAATTGAATCATCCTTTATGATAATGGCTAAAGGTATAGCTGAAAGCGCTTGGAACTATAAAACATTTGGACAGTTTTTACACACTCTTTGTCCAGCAAAGAAAGCTCTTGTTTAAACACAAGAAAACTCATAGTACCTTGTCTGTTGTTTTTAATGAAACATGCATAAACGAAGGATTGCTGCCTAAATATACAACTATCACACAAAATATCCATATGACTGAATATGTGTGTGTGTGCATGTGTGATATATATAAATATATATATATATATATATATATATATATATATATATATATATATATATATATTATGACATATAAGTTATATATTGTGAATATTCTTGACATTTTTTTCTTGACATTTTTTTATTACTATTGCAGTTGTTATGTTTATTTGTTTTATCTTTCATATAAAAGATTTTGAAAGTTTTCAGAGTGGAATTATTTATAATCCATAGAATGCTTTAAAATTAAATGCTTAATGTAAGTAGGTTAAGTGACCTGTTGAATGACTAATGCAGCCAAGACTGAATTGTATGTGTTAAATAATTGCCACAATCAGGATGTTTGTATTTTTCAACAGAAAAGGATAGGCCTTAAATGATTGACAAAAAGAAATAGCAGGAAGGAAACAAGTCTCAGTTAAGAGATATGCAAACACATACACTAAGCTTGCTGCATAAAAGCACAAAGAAAATTACTTTTGTTTTAGTCTGCTCATATAAAAAGCATGAATCTTTAAATATTTAATAATCTTAATTGTGTATAATTACACAACATTTTTCCCATGATCCCTTAAAATGGTATTATGAATGTTTATAATTGAATGTGAATGTATCTGTAAAACATTAAAAAGATATTTTAAAGAATTTATTCTTCCAACTGGGTCAGGTCATATCCTGGATTTTGAAAAGGATGGTGTACAAATGGAAAGTTCAGTTAGTATTCAATATCTTGGTGGGGAGTTGAAAGCTTTCTGCAAGTGTAGGCATTTTTTTTACTATATTTGAGTAATGGTATTTTACCACTAAAATATACAAAAATGTAAAAGAAAATAATAAAAGTTTAAGTAATTTATGCTGCAAAATGCATAGTCTAGACAAAAATGACAAACCCTGCCATACTGGCATGCTAACAGTTTCTTCTGTCATACTTCTTGCTTGCGGAACTCTCTTTCAGCTTCTTGCTTCCCAATCATGACACACACCTCTCTCTCTCTCTTTCTCCCCGTCTCACTATATACCATGTCCCTTGGGCACCCTGAGGTAGTGTAATGGTTAGCAAGCTTGTCTCACTAGAACAATTACGAATGAGTAGTGAGTTTGATTCTCACTGAGTGCCCCATACTTTTGGACTTGTACCACATCTAAGCTATGCTTGGAAAATCACTATACCATGTCCCTTCAGCACATGGATGATTGTGGTTGTCCACAGCTTTCTAACTTTTGTTGCTCTCTGCAATGTATGGTCTGCACTCATTATTTTTCATACTTGTTTCTCCATCTATTTACTAAAACTTGACAAGTAGGTTTCCTACCGCTTCCCTTTGCTTTTCTTGCTTTCAATGTCACCTGTGAGTTAAATTCTCCAAGCCTTCTTTCCTTATTATGTATCCCTAAAATTTTAACTGTCTCTTTCTGATTGTTAGCAAGAGTTCATTTCATCAACATTCATCGATAAAACCACATTTTCTTTATTTGTGATGAAATTTTCCAGAATTCGTTGCCGTATAGAATATTACACATTATATAGCAGTCCAACACCCTTTTCTTTGTAATATTATTACTATTATTATTATTATTATTATTACTTGACTTTATATACTCTGTGACTCTTAGATTTTTCAGCCAGGTGATGATGTTCATATCTAAGCTCTTGTCCGCGGATTAGAAGTACAACTCTTTTCTTAGCACATAAGCTGTTCTAATCAGCACTACCACCTGTGTACTGCCCAGTTGTCACTTTCCACTCTCAATAGAGTTCAGAAGTTTCTCTGTGTCCTTGTAGGTGACAAATTATTTTCCACTCTGCAGCCTTCTTCTCACAGGCAAGATGTTGCAAGCCTCTTGCTGCTTAATTGCTATTTCCGTGGAGAGTGTTCAGACGAACTACACTCCTTAATTCTACCAGTCCTAATATTCATGGCTAAGACCCACCATGCCTGTCCCATTGTAGTGAAGAACCACTCTCATTACCTTCATATTGCTCTGGTGAGCTCTTCGTACAAATCACTTTTTGTGGAACTGACTCCCCAGAGGTTGCTTCCCTGATTACTACAATCTTAATCTGTTCATGTCTAGGGTTATCTTCTACACATATCTGCATAAGCTGTGTCTCTTACTCTGTAACCCTCTACCTTGAGTGGTTCTTGGGTCTCGTACAAGGTGAAGACCACTATAAATATTTTTTTATTCGTCCTTTGTTTCTAATTTGAAATCAAAGCATCTATAAACCTTACATGATCACAAGTGTCATAACTCATTAGGGTCACCATATTTATTGCAGCCTGACAGAGCTCAACCCTCTCAACTAGTTGCCACTTAAAGCTATACAACCCAGTCTGTCTTGCTATTTAACCCATAACTAGGGGAGAAAGAGATAGATTCATACCTTTCCCAAGAGTATTAACACACAAGTGAATGTAATGAACTTGAATTGAAACTCAGCTCTCCAATTCCTTAATCCGAGCTGCTATCCATTACTCCACCATGCTATCACAAACTGTACACTTGTGATCGAAAAAAACAAAAAAACACTCACATGTAGAAGAGAATCAATAAGATTAGCAGTTTATTTTTATGAATCTATATTTTTGTAATTTTTAATTTTATATAGTCAATCTATTTACTATGTTTGGATTCTGTTTGACTTTATTTGAAAACGTGCAAAATACACGAATTCTCAAGTTAAGGGGAGATAACTCCGACTATTCTTTATACTGTTTAAGAAAATCAGATAATTCTAAGATTTCATTGAATATTTTGGGAATTATTTGGTAGTAATACTTCTTTATGTGCCGTGCTCCCTCGGGACGTAGGCGAGTGTGGCCCTCCACAACTTCCTGTCTCTTGTAGCTCTTAATAAACTTTATCTTTCTGTTATTTCTACTAAGCCCTGTTCCACCATCCATTTACACAAGCTCACTAAATATGTTATACATTGTCTTCATCTGGCTTTCTATCTGTCCTGTGAGTATCAGATTTTCCAAGTACTCTTTCCTTATTATGTAGCCCAGAAACCTCAACTGTCTTTTCCTGATGTTAAGTATTAGTTTCCATTTTGTTTCCATTTTTTCCAAAACTTAGTCATTGCTCACATTTTCGGTCCATGGTATCCCCAAATGTTATTTAAAACAAAAAAAAATTAGTTTTGTAGAAATATTTTTAGGTCAGTCCTTGAATTAAAATATACATATGCACACAAAAACGTACACATACACAGAATTTGAGTGAAATTGAAATGGACATCTGTGTCGAGAGGTTTAATTTCCCTTTCTGTCTGGTAACAACCTTTAAGTAATGGGAAAAAGAGTATAAGCCAAAATATGTAGCTCTTTGAAGTCAATTCTGTTTCATTCACATTAACCTTGGAGAAGACATGAATCTACCTTCCTTCAGCTATGGGTTAAATAACAATGGGCTGGGTTCTCTTGACTTAGTGGCAACCAGTATAGAAGAAAGAAAACTCTGTATTCAAAACTATCCTGAAAATAAATAGAATACCTTGCTCTAGATACACCCAGCGCTGCTACAGCTAAAGTACACACCATGCCCCTACAACCCTAATAATGTTATGAGACTTGTGATATAATATGACAAATCATTGCATATTGCTTTATTTCAACTGATTTCCTTATCATTTATGTTTTATACCACTTAGACTGAATGTTTGATATTCAAAAATGCAACACAAATAAGGAAGGATGGAAAGTAGAACCGTTGAAAAATTATGGGATAAAATAAAATTTAATAAAATAAAATTGTAAAAATTATGGGATAAAATAAAATTTAATAAAAGAAAATTGTAAAAATTATGGGATAAAAACGGCAAAGACAATAAAGTAAGTCTGAAAAGGATAAAATACAGTAAATCTATTCATAGTCTGTTTTACCATGTCTGACTATAAGATAATGACAACATGTCAATAAATATGGCAATAAAAAAGTTTAAAAGACATAACAAAAGAGTCATAAAAAAAATTATTTAAATCAAATAAAGACATGTTTCTGCTTTAATTATGAGCTGAAACATTGTTAAACAATGAACTATATTTTTTTTATTTTTCAGGTCAGTATTCTATAAACTACAATTTAGTTCAAGGAAGTGCAAAGGCCGTTTCCTATCCATTTAAATCAAGATCGAAACGTTCATGTTCAGCTCAACCTCATCCTGTAAGCAAAATGCAATGTTTGTATTGATTGCTATAAACTTATACTCACCATAAAAAATTGTGTCCCTACTGTTTTCCAGTTGTGTTCCTGTTATTTTCTAGATTTGATTTTTCTGTTTGTGATTTACTGGTTTGTCAGATCTAATGAGGTTTCCCCTCATGAATGCTGGTTCAAATCCTGCCAGCGGGCACTTATCTTTCTAACAGGATTTCTCAAATATTCAGGCTGATAGATGGAAATAAATATACTTTTTAATAAATAAATAAAAAACAGAGCATCTACTCAAATATGGGTGTCTAAAAATAACGCTTAAACAAATAAATTATATATATATATATATATATATATATATATATATATATAAATGGTAATATTAGCCATTTCCTTATAAAGAAACATTATATTCAGCATTCATTGACCAAGTAACCAGTACTGCTGTCAGTTGAAATTTCTAAAAAGTTTTTCTTGAAACAATTTTTCATGAAAATAGTTTTCTCAAGTCCAGTAGATGTTATTGCTCTTTCCAGACTTGTTACTGCTGTAGAAAATCCTTAAGTGATGTGGTTTCTGTTATTGGGTACAGTTCTTTGTTTGTGATTCTGTAGCACCAATCCACAAGGTTCAGAGAATGATGGTCTTTGCCAAGACCCACAGGCTTCACTGACCATTTTTAACCATTGATCTGAGAAAGTAGTTGTTGATTGATTTGTTCGTTTTTTAGGGCTTATCAATCCTTCACAGAAAATAGTTTTAGATTTAAGAAATTTTTTTTTGAGATAGTTTAGTGATACAAGGCTTACTAATTAACCCATAGGTGGGTGGAGCAAAGATTGATTCATACTTTTTCCAAAGATATTTGCACATATGCAAATATAACAAACCCAATGGGAATTGGATCTCAACTCTCCAATTAACAATTCCAAACTATTATTCATTACACCATGTGCATATCCAAGCTTATAGCACTTGCTATTCCCAAGTGGTTACACATCTAGGTAATGACCAGGCTTGACATTGCCTAACTTTCATGATCATACAGGAACCAGTGTTTCAACATGATGTGGCCATAAGCTAAAGTTGTTGTATAACAGCTGACAGTTAGATATTTCTAAACAGGTCTGGTGCTATGTATGACATCCATATTAAAGACTCAGTCCATTGAGGTTATTTAAGATAATGACTTGAGTTTTCATGTTAATGTTTTCGTTTTGAAGCATTTTGTAGTGTTGTGTGAAACTACCACTAGAACAGCCTATTCTATATTCAATGTATATATTATATATGTAATGTAATGTCAGAGGTCATAACATTGTGATATTTGGCCATTTTACTACATCCGTGTCCTGGGTAAGACAGTAAAGTATGACCAACAGCAAGGCCTCTGATCAGGAGGTTTAGGGGAGCATGTAACAACCTCTTAATTGCTGGTGTTTCCAGGTCCACCCTCACCCGGGGTGGTAGCACCTGTTATGGTCCCAGCTATGGGTAAATAGTTAACCCCCAACTATGAAAGTGTAAAAATAGGTTTTAATACCAGAAATACTACTTTAAAAAATGGTTATCAGCAATACATTTTTGAAAAAAAAAATATTACCAGCAATAAAAATCTTGTTGGTATTAAATAACCCATTGAGGTGTTGATATGCTATAAAACAAAAGAAACAAAATAAAGCAATCATTTTACTACATTCTTGATGACTTTTCCATGTGACTACTCAAATTGTCGGCTGCACAGTCTCTAATTATCTGACTCTTGTCATTAGTTTTAGGCTGTCCATTGCTAAGAGTCTACATAGTATTGCACAAATTATGACTGACTATAAGCAATAATAGAAATACCATTGGGTTTCAACAGGAGGTGGGGGGAAACCAACTAACCCACTGTTAGCTGTCATTGGGCAACAAGTGTGCAACTCTTTCAAGCTAGCTCAGACTTTCATGAGTCTATCATGTCATATATCATGGCCCTGCATCAAGGTCAAAAGGTCATTAAAGTAGCAGCCTGTGTCTCTACATAGTCAGTCTGTGTATATGCTTGTTGGGCAACTAAACCATTTCATGCCATGGCTAGGTGTCCAGATCATTTGCAAGTTCTTGTTTTTCTCGCCAGCAGTGTCCTGCAAAGCACATTCTGTGTTCACATGAGATTATAGAAATAATCAGGGATGGGTCCATAGAACTGTGCTTTACTTGGATATGGTTCCAAGAGATGTTAAGTATAGCCCTTGGCATATATATTTAAATATATATATATATTATGCATGTGTGCATGTTTAAGATATTATTAAAATAGAAGTAAAAATATTCAGTACTTATCGAAGGTCATTCAATTTTATAATTTTTTAATGACTCATCAAGCTTCAACAAGAACAAGTTATTACTGAGTTGACCTTCAATAAGAATTAAACCTTTTTACTTCTATTTTAATAATAATTATCTCTAGTTTTATATTGAGCACTTTATTAGCAAAAATTATTATATTATATACATTAAATTGTATAATTTTGTCTATATTATTTGTTAGCATTAATAGTTTCACTTTCTGTCCTGGAGTAATAAGTTCATTCACAGGTTTCATGTACAATTTAATTTTCAAATCTTTTTTTTACTGCTCTTTGGACTATCATAGATGAAACTCCTCTATCATGTGCCAAACATTTTATGGACTGAGTTGGATCTTTTCTAATTGATCTCTTTAGCTTTAAGTTAAAATGATGATCCCTCTTGCTGTTGTGACCTACCGATCCAGTTTCCCTCTCTACTGTTCCCTCTTTTTTAAACTTATTTACCATTCACTTGATGGTTCTTGAATGGACTTTGAAGGTGGAAGCCAGAGTATGGATTTTGGTGCCATTACTGAAGGCTTGAATTATCTTTTTCCTCTCACCATTGCTCAGTTGGGAAGACATAGTGGAGCTGATACAAAACAATTTTAACCTGTTCTCTTTCTAGCTGAATAACTCAAAGGGTTTTTCAGTGATTCATACGACAAATGGTGTCAAGATAGCTAAACATGAAATCCTGGAAAAAAGAAACTCAATTAGTTTAGTGTTTTTTTAGATATTAAACATTTTGTGGAATGGACAATTATGCTGTTACTTGATTTGAACAATTTTGCTGTTACACCCGATGTGTGTGTGTGTGTGTGTGTATATATATATATATATATATATATATATATATATATAAGCAGTTTTTCTCTTAAATGACTTGTATTGCATAAAACTGGCATAATAAATAAGAATTTGCAATGTTATAGGTAGCATCCTGTGTCTCTACATAGTCATGACCTGGCATCTTGGCTTCACTCACTCACCACTACCATAACATAGTTTCTCCATACCTTCACTATAAATATTTTCATGGTAATTGTTCTGATAAGTTTTCTTCTTTGGTACCTCAACTTTACAAATTTAAGCACAGTCCTAGATTGGCAGCAAGGTCTCATTTTACAGGTGACATGGCTAGATGTAACTGTAAGTTCTATGTTAAATTTATTCTCTCACATTTCTTGCTTGTAGAATTCTTTTTCAGCTTCTTGCTTTCCAGCCAACTTTGATTTTCAAAAATCTAAATACAATGTCAGTCATTATTTTCTGTCTTAATTCCTGTTCTTTTATTGCTCTCTCTCTCTCTCGTTATTAATGAGTGTATTTTTGTGTTACTTAGTAACACTGTAGGAAATTCAGTCATCCTAGTCCCAAAAAATAATAAAAATATAGGTATTTCTGTTAAACTAATTGTTTGTATTTACAAATATATTTACACAAATTCAAAAGAGTTAAAAAGTAATAAAAATAGTCTTTTGTTGAGTTGTTGGTACACAGAAAAATCAGTAATTTAGAAAAGACTTTTAAATAGTTGGTTTCACAGTGGTTGAGAAAAAGCTTCTATTGTTAGTGGAAATTCACTGACCATCCTTCTTATTGTTGAGATGATTTATTTGAAGTCGGAAACTGGCCATGCAGGCTGTTATTGAATAGAAAATAAACTTTGTATGTGTTTTAATATAGTGTTGGAATTAGGGTAAATTTCCCCTAGCATCTTAATGGATTTATTGCCTTGCTTGGGGATGAAATGATTAAAAATAATAATAGTAATAATATTCCTACTAGTGTATGTAAACAAAACAAAAGCATTCAATATAAGGAAAAAATAAGGAATGAGTTTTATACAGCTAAACTTGATCTTATGTTATTTGTTAACTACCTTTGCTCAATTTCTGACAACAGCCATTACAGTAAAATACATTTCCTGAAGCTAAGGGAAGTGAGTTCAAGTCTGACTAAGAGCTTAATCTTTATTTTTGAATCGTCTCAAATCCTTGTTCTGATTGGCACTAGAATGAGAATTTGAATAGTTGCAATGAAAAGCAACTGAATCTAAGATGGAAAGAACTAGTTAAGAATGAATAATGGTTAATAGGAAGGAAAAAGAAGAGGGTTAAAAGCAAGAATAACATGGTGACGGATCATGGAGAAGGAGAGGGAAGTAATAGGCTGGCGATCCTGCAGTGAGGTGCAAATGGCAGCAGTGGATAGGGCAAAGTTGAAACATTCTGTGGAGGCCTTTTGTACCATGAGGCATCCAGCATATAGATATTGAAAGAAATGAATCAAGCTAAGTAAGGATGAAGTACTGGTAAAGTCAGTGAGCAGTAATAAAAGCTGAAACCTTGCCTATGGATACAGGGTTTAGATTTTTTTTTTAATATCCAGTATAAGGCTCAAGTGTCATTGAAGGTAGAGTGTTGACTGTTGACTTGAAGATTATAGTGCAAGAGAGTATCCACACAAGAATCTGTTCCACAAAGCAGTTTTTGAGAAAAAGCTATCTTAATATATCTTCCTCTTTACATTTGGAACATGGTGGGGATGATTCAAGTCCATGGAAGTGGCATGACATGTCCAAGCAATAAAGTTCTGAACTGGTGAAATTAAAGAATAAAGCTATATTTGCTATGGAATTAACAATAGGCTTGCAACATTGTGTCTAAAGGGAAAGAGGCTGTAGGGTGGGAAATAAGTGTTTCTCTGAAAGATTGTATAAAAGATTATAAGTGTATTAAAGCTGGAAAGTGAGGATTAAGCAGCTCCAGTCCGGATATGGCAGGAATAATATATTTTCAGTCTTTTTTTTAATTTCACTCCAAACAAGGTAATATTGCCACTAGGACATGGGGTGGGGGTTACAAGGAGGTAAAAAGAACAAAAAGACTTTAGTGAAGAGAAATGAGGAAAGGACAATAAAAGTATGGGGTTCAGGAAGATAGAAGATGTCAATTGAGATTGCATTTAAATTTTTAAAGATTGAATGTGAGAGGGAAGCAAAAACCAAAAGGCAGTTCTACAGGCAAGAAAAGAAACTGTTAGAGTAAAAGTGGTGGTTGCATCTAGCTGGTTCAACAGTAAAATGGTGAGATCTGGTTGCCAATCTACTAGCAGACTTAAATTCACAGTAGCAGCACTAGCGGAAAAAGCTCATCAGAACAATTACCATGAAAATATTTGTAGAAAAGCCAAAGTGAAGCCACATCACATCAGTGAGAAAGTGACTGAAGTCAAGATGACAGGATAAGATTGATTGCATTACAGATCCTTCCTTTAATTTTTTTCAAGAATCTCTAGATATACAGCAAAAGCAGCAGACTAATTGTTTTTGCACAAAATCAATTTGAAAACACAATTAAGAGGCATTAATGAAAGGGAGACAACTCATATCGAGTTATACTTATTACTATCGAGTTATCCTTATTATAAAACCCAGGTTGGTTGTTTGTGTGTGTGTGTGTATGTGTGTGTGTGTGTGTGTGTGTCTGTCTGTCTGTACGTTTATATATTGGATCGGATTTCCTACATTTTTCAACCGATTTCAACAAAACTTCACGGGACTGCGTAAAATTAGCTTGCGGTGGTTCTGACAGCACCAAAAATGGGAAAAACACAATTGTTTTTGCACAAAATCAATTTGAAAACACGATTAAGAGGCATCGCGAGAATGAAAGGGGGACAACTCATATCGAGTTATACTTATTATAAAACCCAGGTTGTTTGTGTGTGTGTGTGTGTGTGTGTGTTCATTTATATATGGGATCGGATTTCCTACATTTTTCAGCTGATTTCAACAAAACTTCACTTTTTTTTGACAGGTAGTGTTTCTTATTGTCTTGCACACTTTTTTCTTTATTTTTACATTCAGAATGCTTTAAAAATTCCATTTACAAGACAATTGTTTATAATAAAATTCTATTCAATCGGTAGACTCATAACGATTGAAAACAATGTTTTTGTTTGAGTTTGACCAATTCGTAAAAAAAAAAAAAAAAAAAAACTAATTAAGACATGCGTGTCCATCAGCCTTAAACAATAATCTTTGTTAATTTTTATTTTTCAGTCTTTATGATGGTCAATACTTGATCTATCTCTTACTGTTACATCCATTAATAGTTTCCATTATGATAGCATTTTATGAATAATTGATTATCTGATCATCTATTGTTTTTTAATTAATATTTTTTATTCATCTGGTTTAGTTCCCTGGTCCAGGATCTTATGATTTGAACAAGCATTTGGACACCAAAAATGAAAACAGAAGAATATTGTAAGTATTTCAATATTTCTTTTCAGCTCTTTTTGAAGCATGGAGGTTTTTGGGGTTTTTTGGGGTTTTTTTTTATTAATGTTCATCTTATACAAGACACAAGAACCACTAAAGTTTGAGTGTTACTGAAGGAGGTGGTTGTATGAGCAGTAACAGAAAGAAGTAGGAAGTACAATTTATGAGGATATGTGGGAAAGATGACAGTTAACCTTAGGGTTATAGAAGGCAGTTATCTCCCTTTGGTGGAGATAAGTCACATGGGTTACTTGATGGCCACTTAATGACATTACTTTATAGAGTGACAAAGCAGCAGTCAATTTCAGTTTGTTTACAGCAGCCAAACTTAGCAGTTGTTTTTTTTTTTTTAGCCAGGATAAATCTGCCTCCCCTAGCAGCTTATAAGCACATGGCACTGTTTATATAGATATAGAAAGAAAGTCTTGCTCACAGTCCTCAATTTGGGAAAACCCAAGACTCACCATTCCCCCTTTGTGAAATATGTCCTCTCCTGGGACATAGTAGATGAATCCAGCCCTTTAATCTGGAGTCCTATTCTTGGCTTCTCCAGAAATCACAGAAGAATCTTCATATGACGTGCAAGACCCTTCCTTTTCATTTCTCCTTACACTCTGGTTGTTGTGTAGATATGTGTTATATTTTTCTCTGTGTGGGACACATGTAAATATCTATATATAGTTTTGTTTATGTCTTAGTGGTATAAAAGTCTCTCTGAGAACAAAGCATGTTTGTCATTTCTTTTTTTTTTCAGCCATTCTATTCTGTCTGTGAAATAGGGTTTTATTATATCACGGATATAATAATGCCCATAATGGGGGAAATACAAATGGGAGAATAAATCTTTCTTCCATAGCTCTCTCCCGTTATACTAGATTTGAAGAGTTTAAGATTGTATTGCCAAGAGAGTATCCTCTTGGGTGTCAGTTCTACAAAGTAGCAGTTTGTAGGAAGAAGCTCTTTGAGTGGAAGTTCCTTCATAGTGCAATACAAAGGAAATGAGAGTGGTTCAACCCAGTTTATGCCATATAACAAGTCTTATCTGTGATAGATTTGGTGGAACTAAAAAAAAATAATCTCTGGATAGCTTTCTTGTTCACCTAAATTAAAACTAGCTTCCATCAAAACTTGAACTTGCATCCTATGAGTCTGTCTTGCATGGAGAGTGCCTTAAACATTTCATCTACAAAAGCCTGTAGCTAGAATTTAAGTAATTTTTGACTAGAAGTCAGTGGTAAAAATAGATGATAATGTAAAGATTTATAGTAGAAAGGTAACAATATGACTGAAGATTATCTAGCCATAGACTTCCATGGCCAAAAAGGTGAAGGCATTAGTTGTGAAATACAAACTGTTAGTAAAAGGGATGTGAGTTCAAGCCTCATTGGAAGCTACTTTTTTTTTCTTATTTCATACTACTCAATGATTCTGACTATTACTTTAATAGTCAAAGGCAATTTTTCTTAGTAAATTGTGAGAAAAAGCAGTAATAAGATAAAGAATTGACTAAATAATAATGAAAATACTTTGTCTCAGAATTCAAATAATTTTAGAAATTCAATTTCTTTATATTTCTGATATGAGTTTTCTTGGTATTATACATTGATTCACTTGAATCAGTTTTCTTGTAACCTGAGTTTTAATTAAATTTCAGTCACTGCATTCTCCAACCTTTCATTTGGTTTTGCTTGGTTTGTGTAATGGCACATCAACATCTTATGGGTCATTTTAATGCCAAATCATGATTCATTTGCAATTACTTGATTACAGTTTCATAACTATTCATATAGCACAACAACTGCTGGCTTCCAAACAGTTTACCAAGTTTTACACTTGAGGTTTGGGTCAACCTGTGGTATTGTTTTCAGGCACTTCCCTATGGCACCATATGCTGGGATAATCTTCCATTTAGATATGACCAAGAAGTCAAAAAGTCATGACTAAGACTTATTAACTATGATGAGATTCAAACAAAAGACTCATAATCAGATGGTTAACACTTTAACCCTTCAGCAATGCAAACACCCAGTCTTTGGAAGAAGTATCATGGAGGAGGAGAGGGAAGGTAATCTGGCACATAGATACTGAAAAAAAATGAAACAAAACAAGCTAAGTAAGGATCAAGTGATAAAAAACAAAATGAAACAAGCTAAGTAAGGATCAAGTGACAAAAAACAAAACGAAACAAGCTAAGTAAGGATCAAGTGATAAAAAACAAAACAAGCTAAGTAAGGATCAAGTGATAAAAAACAAAACAAAACAAGCTAAGTAAGGATCAAGTGATAAAAAACTAAACAAAACAAGCTCAGTAAGGATCAAGTGATAAAAACAAAATGAAACAAGCTAAGTAAGGATCAAGTGATAAAAAACAAAATGAAACAAGCTAAGTAAGGATCAAGTGATAAAAAACAAAACAAAACAAGCTAAGTAAGGATCAAGTGATAAAAACAAAATGAACAAGCTAAAGTAAGGATCAAGTGATAAAAAACTAAACAAAACAAGCTCAGTAAGGATCAAGTGATAAAAAACAAAATGAAACAAGCTAAGTAAGGATCAAGTGATAAAAAACAAAATGAAACAAGCTAAGTAAGGATCAAGTGATAAAAAACAAAACAAAACAAGCTAAGTAAGGATCAAGTGATAAAAAACAAAATGAACAAGCTAAGTAAGGATCAAGTGATAAAAAACTAAACAAAACAAGCTCAGTAAGGATCAAGTGATAAAAAACAAAATGAAACAAGCTAAGTAAGGATCAAGTGATAAAAAACAAAATGAAACAAGCTAAGTAAGGATCAAGTGATAAAAAACAAAACAAAACAAGCTAAGTAAGGATCAAGTGATAAAAAACAAAATGAACAAGCTAAGTAAGGATCAAGTGATAAAAAACAAAATGAAACAAGCTAAGTAAGGATCAAGTGATAAAAAACAAAATGAAACAAGCTAAGTAAGGATCAAGTGATAAAAAACGAAACAAAACAAGCTAAGTAAGGATCAAGTGATAAAAAACAAAACGAAACAAGCTAAGTAAGGATCAAGTGATAAAAAACGAAACAAAACAAGCTAAGTAAGGATCAAGTGATAAAAACAACAAAGACAGGAATACTGGTCTGAATGAATCAATGTATAAAAGTTCCAATTAATTTTTTTCTTGATTAACTTTAAACATAAAAAAAAAGCTCCAACAACATATAACAAACTCAATATAAAGTCAGTTTAGTAGTGAAAAACCCATTGCTTAAGTGCAGTGGGTGTTTCACTATATAAATTTAAGCTTGCAACCATTATTTTATTTTATAGAAAACTTCTTAATCTGGATAAAAAAGTATTTTTTACCTTTTCCTTCCAAAGTTGACAGTAGAATATGTTTACAAAACTTGAATTTATGATGTGCAACAGGCAATTTAAAATATCCTCCTGTGAAATTTTAAGCCATAGTAAAATGATTAACCTTGACAGATACAAATCCTTTGCATGAGTGAGCTTGTATGGTTGATTTCACATTGTAATCTTTTGGATATAAAATGAATTATAAAGAAAAGAAAGCACAATAGTAGCTCTGTCAAGGGTGGGGAAAGACTTGACCTACATTTATAACATTTCTCACTGTTGTGGCAAAAAAAATGCAATGACCAGTGACTATATTGAGATAAATTAGAAAGTTATAATGCATGAAAAAACTTTTAAGTCAAGTATATCTGATGACCATCAAAGTATAGCTGATCATCTCCAACTATGGGTTAAATAGTAAAATACATTGGGTTTTTTAGCCTTGGGTGACACCCAGTCTAGGAGAAGGGCAGCTGTGGATTCAAATCTGTGCTGAAAACAACTGATCACTCTGCAATCTTTCATGGCAGTTCCTAAATAATAATAAAAAAGAAAGGATTCTCTGGAGAGTCATGATAGCTTGTGTCGTCAGTCGACATGGCATTTAAAAAAACAAATAGCTGGTCATGTGTGAATAAAGTCATAAGATCAGCCCCTATTGAGAAAAATCAAAATAATGGACTTCATCATCATCATCATCACTGTTGTCGTAGTATTAATAGTAGAATATTATTGAATTGATTGATTTCTTTTTTTATGCCTTATAAATCTTTTGCAGGTTATTTAAAGCCAGAAAATATTTTTAGATTCTAAGAATTTTTTGGAGATAATAATGATTTACTTCTATAGGTCTTACTAATTAACTCATAGCTGGGGGTAGAAGTGGTGGATTCATGCATAAGCGAATATAATGAACACAATTGGAATTGAACCTCAGCTCTCCATCTTCCAATTCCATGCTGTTATCCATTACACCCATCACATATCCAAGCTTACAGTAAATGGTATTCCCAAATGGCCACCCATATATGTACTGACCAGGCTTGACATTGCTTAGCATAGTGGAGAATAAGATGATTAAACAAAGCAATACACACAACATTCTCAAATCATTTTGTCCATAGATCAAGTATACATTTTTCATATAGGAGCTGATGATCAAACAATGAATTAATGGCTTAAAAATATGACACAAAAAATGAGAGTGCTAATGAAATTTAGTTAGCTCACTTCAAAGTCTTAAAATTCAATGTATGGTGTCAAAAGGGGTTCCATAGATAGGCTATGGATATGACTATATGGGAGGGTGTTATAGTAGAACACACCTATTCTAAAGTTAATAGACTCTCCCACCTATAATAAGTAGGAGTAGTAAGAGTAACGTGGGAGTCACTCAGTGAGTCAGTCGGTCGGTCAGTCAGTCGATGTCGGACGATAGTTAGTCGAATACTAAAGTATCAGTGACCATAACTAGATTACTCTGCGTTATACCTATTATATCAAGTTCCTAACGTTTTGTACGTCGAACCTATTTTAGGACCGACTTAGTACAAATACAAGCCTCCGCTGTGAAATCACTCCACAACAGAGGGAAAGCTTCTCAGAACAAGGCTATTTCAAAATATAACTCAAGAAAGAGCATCCAAAATCTTTGACAA